AGTTCTTTGCCTCTTCAGCGTCCTCCAGAGCTCAAGAGCTCCACTCAGGTCTCCGCAAGCATTTTGCTGGCCTGTCTCTTCCGCGTGATGCGAGTGTGCCGAGGCAAACGCATGTGTGTGTGGTGGTTTCAGCCATAGCTTGGTTTCGAGGTTCTGCAACAAATCTCATTCCTGGCAAGAGGAATCAACAAAAGGGAACATTAAGGTGTAATGGCAGAGATGCAGGCCATGTGTCATCTGACTCTTTCGCCTTTTTGGAGCGAAACCAAGAGGATGTCATCGCTTGTTTGCTATCGGAGGTTTCTATGTCATCATCGACGATTTTTCCTTCAACTTAGTGACCACCTCTGATCTGTGCGTGGCCGAGCAGGACTTCACAGAATACTGATTCAGCCGGGGCCCACGTGAAGGAAAGATCTCGTACGAAGTGCACATGTGGTGATATGTGGATATTTATAGTGCATTTCTCCAAACGTGACGTTCGTCAGGTGATGTGGAACTTGAAGGTGTATGTAAAACAAAATCTGAACAGGCTCAACAGACTCCACAGGGAAAGGAACAATAGATCCTGAAATCCTTCCTTTTGCGTGTGTGTCACGCAGCTTGTGTCAAACATCGACGGTTTGGCCGCACCAGACGGGTGGTCCTCACATGCACGTAGGTCCCCGTTCCCAACGGAGAGCGTATTTTGGTGGGTCTGGAATGGTTTGGAAGTCTCTTGCCATGCATGTCCTGACCCACATGTCTTGCCATGCATGTTTGCATGCATGTCCTGACCCACATGGAATGGAGTTGTTCATCCGTCCGTCACTTCGCCTTCGACGGACTCCGCGATGCGCAGGACTGGAACTTGCTTCAAGCCTTGCTTCGTAGGCCCAGCGCCGGTGGGGGGCGTTGAGCCACTGGGGCGATTTCCTTCAACAGCGCGGCGGCTGGGAATATCGGCTGGTTGGTTGGAAGATGTTGGAAGGGCGTGCTGGGAGAGTGTTTTGGTAGGCCACCCTTGGGTGGGTGGGGCACGATGGTTGGGCTTTGGGGCTGGTGGGAGCGTTGCTTTGTTGGACCCATTGTGGGATATGGCTGGGTTGGGACCCCCGAGGTCACACGGCCTACTAGACTCGGCGTCGTCCTCCAGCTCTATGTGCTCCCTTGTTGACCTATAAACCGCTATCAGTACCGCTATCCACTGCATCCAGAGCCGTCCATCTCTGACATCGATTGATGTCTATCGACCACACATTGAATCAAAGGGAACGTGGTTGAATCGGCTGCAGGAGCTGCCATTCTTTGCAGTACCTCTTCATCGTGTTGCAAAGCACCATTGTCGCCGCCGCTCGGCGGGAGTTTGACACCAGAGCGGAGGAGATATGACTTGATATTACAGTATGCTGATTATCCGTATGTCATCATATGTTTATGTGTATTATATATACTATGTTATTTAGTGTAGTTTGCATATGTTTATATTATATATAGTTACTTGCAGGCAGATTAGATATGAGAGTGTGAACATTCGAGAGAATACCCAGCAGGATAGAACACACGATGAGACTCATGAGACCGTGTACATAACTCTCAATTTATGGGTAGATCAATGGGACAGAATTGATCAGTAGATCTTGGAACTTTTGTGCTGCAGAGGACATTGCCCGCTTTGGCCTACAGAACTTTTCTGCGTTTCCGCCAACAGTATGCTCATTATATCTCCAAGCACAGCTTGTCATTACATACATGACTGCGCTCCACTCAGGTTGACTTCCATGATGTGCATGTCTCCCTGCTGGACATGTGAAGAATGCTTGGGGATTCCTATAGGCTAGTCACTTAGTCTGCCCGATCCATAATTTGGACGCTAGTGACACTGGATGTGTCTCAGGGCTTCCTCCCTCCATGCCACCTGCGTAGGCTAAGACCATAGCGCCTGGCAAGTGACACTTGAGGTCTTGATCTTTGGTGTGGATGACTTCTACCGGCTCTCCAACTTAAGCGACCTCATTTCAGGAGCGATGCCGTCCCCAAACACGAACTGCGCCCATAGAGTCACGTCAGCTGGAGGACAGCAAACAGATATGTACAGCCTCTAGTGCAGCATTTGAGGAGGCGTTGGAGTCTAGAAGCACGATTCTTCTCGGGTGCTGTGACAAAGGCACTCCATGGAGTTATTGAATAGTCCTTTGACTCCGAACCATAACTCTTGGACCCCCAGCCCTTTCGATGAACATCCATTCGTCGCGTTTCGCGTTTTGTTACGTCAACACATACCTCGTGATCGTTCCCCTCAGGCTCAAGGGCAGATGGAAATCTAGGGACGCCAAGTGTGATGAAAACTTAACGATCCCAGCTAGAGTCCCAGCTGCCAAATCAACTTTCGGCAGGCAAGAATAGAAGATGGATGTTGATGGAACTGACTCTTCTTCTTTAAATCCTTAAATTCGCCAGTGCTGACTGTGCTGGCTGGTCTCCTTTTGCACGCCCAGGAGGGCTCGTTTGCATCGGCTTGGCCCAGCTCTTCCTTTGTGCCGCCAGTGTGACCGTCGCTGGGAGAACTGGCCAAGGGTCCCGGGTCCAGGAGGTGACACTGGCCGTGATACTTACAGGGACCCTGTGTTGTTGTTGTTGCTGTTGTTGTTGCTGTTGCTGCTGTTGCTGCTGTTGCTGCTGTTGCTGCTGTTGCTG